TAGGTTAGGGTTTAGGTTAGGGTTAGGTTAGGGTTAGGGTTAGTATTAGGGTTAGGGTTTAGTTTTGCGTTAGGATAGTTTTTTCTACGTTATAAAAATGGAAACCTTATTTTGAAGTATACTATCTAGCGATCACCGTGACGTATGGTGGCCTGACTAGGCGTGGCTCTGCTTTCAATTAACAGGGGAATTCCCTGTACGAGTTTTTTTGTATAAAATACATAAAATACATTGGTTAAATACATTGGTTATAAATACATAAAAATATATAAAATCTACAGTTAGAATAGAGTTGATTTACCATTTGGACGAAGTATGGATCAAACAACAGCCTCGTACATCGCGCTTATACGAATACATTGCACTAACAGCGCATCAAATATTACACCATTGCCACTGGCAACCGATCTATTTATGGAAAAGGTTAGTTTGCTGACCTCTGAATGACATTTCGTTAAAACGTTTTACTTCAAGGTTGGTTTAGAAACAGATTATGGTAATATGGTTAGGGTTAGAGTTGGTGTTTGGAATAGGGTTAGGGTAGGGTTAGTGTTACGTTTTGTCACGCTGAGGTCGGCGAAATAACCTCTTCCTCTATTTATAGGGAGCTTTCGTTAGTCCGGATGTAACTATCTGAAAAATGTAAGTAGAAATTCGACGTTTCGAGCGAAGGCCCTTCGTCTGACTTTAGTAGCGGGATCGGGAAAACTACATGAGCTTTTTTGCACCAAGTTCTTTCCAGCCCACTTCGATTAGGTGGTCGAAAACCCTGACAAAATCGTGTTTAAACCATGCAGTCTCCAAGCCAAGGGCAGACATCTCTCATAAACATGTGTCGATTTCTATTAAACAAGGTAAAACTCGTAAAAGGAGGTTGATGTCGAAAAACATCAATGTTGAAAAATTTGGTGCATTTACTGAAGTTGGAAACGAAAATACCATTCGCTCCGTTCCAGCTAGAGAAAAATGGTCTGAAGCGAGTCTGTGCAACGTTGTCCTTAGGCAGGGTGTGTGGGGGGGGGGGGGGGGGGGGGGGGCAATATTGCAAGCTATCATGAGCGTGCATATAAAATGATAATAAAATGGCTTGTTTTGATAAAAGTTTTGATAAAGTTTTTACTACTAATCTATTACTATTACTATTACTATTTGATGGGATAGACTGGCTTATATGAACAGTACTCGTACATACAAATGAACTATGGCCTATGCTGAATTGCAAATCCAGCCTCAGAGTTTTAACTCGTATATAGTCTATTTTGGTTAAATTTCGCGCGCACTAATTCTTCCGTGCACAAAGCTTCGGTAGCCTTACTCCATTGAACCAATTCCGTGAAATGATAATCGCTTGCAAGACATTCAGCTTTCTTGGCGTATTTAAAGGCATTGCGCAAAAAGCGAGTTCTTTCGTCAGGACTGACTTGTGAACGTCGATAATTGTAAATGGAAAGTACCAAACTGAGCTGAACTTCATGATACCTACTCAGTGGCTGTCCTTCATCAGCGGATTCATGTACAGCCATTATACTCGCCCTTGCTTTATCCATGTCTGAAATGTCTACATTACCCCTGATGCGCCGTCCACTTATATTACGGCCAAGGTAAAAAGTGGCCAAAGTTATATACGCCTTCTGCTCCATATCTTCAAGGACTTTGGATTGATCTGGAACACATCGTAAATGTTCCAGAGCTCTTATTGAAAAAACATCAGGCGAACATGTTGGGTCTTCTGAATTTATCAAGTTAGTCACAGTTCCAGCAAAAACGTATACTATTGCTGTTACCAGGCCTGGTTCAATCAGTTCTGCCTTGGACAAAGCTGCAGTCAATAATCCTCTGAGGCCTTGAAAATCTCCACTTGCACGTTTTAGAGCTACTTGTAAGTACAATCCCATCACCTCGAAGAACAAGCGATCTTCTGCTTGCGGTAAAATGGCGTTGTACTGTTCGAGAAAGGCACGTGCTTTTGCGAAACTACCTCTACGGCAACACGCGGTGACTTGTTTGGACAAAACCAATAACTTCACGCATAATTGAGATTTTTCCTGAAGAATTTGACACTCTGTCCAAAAGCCCTTCCAATCACCATTATGAATTAATTGCCCTAATTTTTCCCCTACAACAGTGAAAATCTTCCGAGCCTCAGCTGAGCTCCAAGCAACACGTTGAAGTAAACGCGGGATTTCTTCCTTACTACGCAACCAAACTGGATGTAATATTGGTTTTTTCCAAGTGGCGAGCGACATCTTGTTAACTTTCCCTTCCACTATTTCACAACATTCTGGTTCCTCAGTGAACACACCACCCAGGCAAGGAGCGATGTAGATCACGACCACAAAGGTTGACGGGATAGGTTTAGAGTTTTCACCTTTCACTGGCTCGAAGAATATTTCCCAGTGTTCCCCTCGTTTTGGTTGACCAATCTGCTCAGGCCAGATCATCTTGTTGATGGCTTTCTCAACTTTCTTTGTTATTTCACCAATGTCCTCCTCATTGGAAATCAATTCTCCTTCAACAATTCCAGCATCTCTGATACCATAGTAAATATGACCTCCGTTATAGTTGGAAAAAGCGGAAACATAGCAACTGAATTTATTACCTTTACCAGTCATACGATCTGCTAGTCTGGTGCGTTTTGATGGACCTGCTTTTATATTCTTGAACTGAACAGTTTTTGTCTCATGTAAGCCAGAATTTGTATCTTTAACAAATTTTGTCCAATGTGAGCCAAGATGGACTGGTTCCTCAACGACTTTTCTGTTGATGATATCGTGCTTGACTTTCTCTAGTGGTTCCAGAGGAGGTACTTGTACAACTTGTGATTGACACAGTAAATAAAGATTATAATCAGTTGTTATAAAGAAACCAACTTTTGTTCCACCATCTCCATCTAGCAAAGTACAGATAGCTGATATTATTTCCTTTAATATTGATTCACTGTTCTTTTCAATAGTAGAGATGTCTTTATCTGGGTCGACAGCTATATGAATAGTAGTATTACTAATCGAACCGTCCATTTTCGTATCGTTTAATTTCCTATATAACACAAAGGAGTATTTTTGTGTCAGCGGCGAAATCCCGGTTTTGGCGAGATTTTACGTTTGTTATTAGGGGTGGACCACTTGATATACTGCCGGGAGAGGGTGGCAAATCCCCCACCTCCGCCCCTAAAAATGATACAAAGAGTGTAGCCAGAAACCGTGACTACAAGGCGTGCTTAAAACAGGCGTACTTTATAGCCAGTAAGGTATGTCGAAAACAGGCGTAATAAAGTAACCCGATACTCCACAACCAGGGTTATAAGGGGTAGCCCATTAGATATCCTGGAACGGGGGTGAGGATGCAGAGTGAAATTCATTGTAAGCATTTAATAATAATAATAATAATATTATAATAATATAATAATAATATAATAATAATAATAATAATAATATAATAATAAGTTCTTTGTATGTTTGCATGGTGATAAAATATATGTTGTTGTTTGTTGATAATCTGTTTGTTGTATTGTTTGTTGATAATCTTGATTCATCTTTTCTAAAGGATGTTCATTGGGATGGCTGTTATTTCATGGTGATTAGAACTAAGATGGCAATAATGAGGATAACGACGATGATATAATGATTATGATGATAATGGTATCCAAAACGTTAAACGTGAATCATTATTATGGGTGAAAGACTATACATGTTATTTAAAGGAGGAGTATAGGGCTCTTTTCCACTCATCGTTAAAACCAACTCGCAAGTTCGCTGCAAATGCTTGCATCTATTGAAAATAAACTGTCGAGTACTGTGATTAGATGAAAGTTGCGATGAATGGAAAAGAGGCTTTGTAAAAGAATGAATGTAGTAAGAATAAAAATATGTCACCTTCGTCTTGCGTACTGGGTAAACGATGATTTTCCTGTGTCAGAAATTCCTATTAATTCTTCCAGTTTTACCATGGATTCTTCACATCTTTCCTTCCATTGCACATCAATTTTCCCTGTGTTAAAATTTTTACTGTTGCATAAAATTTTCGGTCTAACCATGGATTGTAAAATAACTGGATAGGAAACTAACTGACGTCACAGTCTAAACCTAGTTGCAATCTGTGACGTCACATGTATTGCCAAAGTTCTCAGCATTTTTGTTGTTTTGCTATATTTTCCGCTTTGAAAGAGTAATATTGAAGCATAAACTGGTCTAATTGTTTTAAAAACATGCCTAAGCCACGACAAAGTATTCAAGGTAAATGTTTTTCGTCTTTGTTTTGTACTTTTTAACATTTGTAGCTACGAAATTGGCGTCGCCAATTTTTACGAAATTTGCGATGCATTTTTCACTGTTTAGTGCTTGAAATATTTGCTAAAATTGACTGGAAATACTTAGAGATTTCATCGTAGAATGGCTTAGTTATATTTATTTGCTCTTTGACTAAAATGTTTAGCTGTATTATCGCTAAACATGCCGTTTTTGAGAATTTGGTTTGCAACTAGGTTTCAACGCCATCATCCCATTGAAAACATTAGGTCACGTCAGCTAGTTTCCTATCCATGTATTTTATTATCCATGGTCTAACTGTGCAAGGGCAGAAATGCCAGTAATCCGTTTTAAAGTGGCAAATGTTAAAAGTAAATATAAACTCAAACAGGAAATCATAAACCGGCATTTCCAAATTTTCCATGTTTTTATCGTATAACGTTCCACAATTAAAGCCAGGTCTGAATGTTCGATGAGAATAACATGCTATATATACTCTTAAATTTAAAAAGTTTTGATATTCCAAAATGAAACAAATATCTGCATGGCCATAACTTAGCGAGGCAGAAATGCTATTCAGTAAACTATTCTTTAGTAGCCTTTTTCACGCGGGCCAATATCCGCTATTTGTGGGCTAATGTTTTCCCTCGCAAAAGAATCTAGACAATTAAACAATGTAAAAAGGAACTTTTCAAAGTTCAGTAACTATAAAGTTACAGTTAAAATGATTTTGTAATAAATGTGTAGTGTCATTTACCAAAATGAAAGACAAGTTTATTACCACCGTTGTCTGTTGGTAGGCCTAAATTGCAAATTTAGTTCAATTACAAAGCATTATATATAAACGTATGTTATGGTTTTGGTATTAATATATTGGTACGATACTTTGATTAAATTTACTTTCAGTCATTTTGAGGTTGGACAGATAGAAGCCGTTACACTGTTCAGGGCTTCTTCAGTTTTAACACCACGTAAATATAAGGAACACCTAGTATGTTTTCCTAATTATTGATGGTAATATTTTGTGATAGTACATGCTAAAATAGTGTGTAAATTAGTCGTAGTACAGTTTACATACGGCATTAAAATAAAGAAACGCTTCTTGAAAGAAATCTAATTTAAAATTATCATGATAATGCAAACAACATTTACGGATGGTTTATTGTTGCGAAGTGATTCCAAACACACGTACCTAGCTCGGTAAGATGAGGGCAGCAACCGGAATCGGTTGTTTTGTTGTCCACGCAGGCAACTGTCTCCTCCTGGTTAGGGTTTAGAGAACTGTAAAAAGAATTTTTAAAAAGTTATATTGCCATCCAGTGCCATAACCTTCTTTATGCTCTTGCTTCTGTTTACTTTTAATTTAAAAATACCTCTCGACCAAGGAGGTATAATGAGAAGTCCTCATTATCTTCATCTTCAAAAATATGCTCTTCTTTCTCCACATCAACTATAATCATAAACAACAACAGCTTTTATTAAAAAAAGCAAAGAGCTGGCAATTGCTTCACAATTATACCACCTACTGTACTTGTCCATTTAGCAAATCAAGTTTTAATATATTTTTCAAAAACTCATTAATAATTCAGGAGCAAAACACAAAGCAAAAATCATAAGCGTGTCGTGGTACCGTGCATGCACATTCTTTGTTTTAGGTTTATTAATATTTAAATATCATGGTTGAATGACTGAACTGAAACGTTGCTATTGGATGATTCGTTCATTATACTGAAATACAATGTGTTCATTGACCGTGCACCGTGCACAAAACTGCATAAACGCGAACAAAAAGATAGAACAAAGACTTCAGCGGAGTTTCCAAACCATGTTTTGAAAGACTACGATGTGATAAAAAATCATGTTAATTTACATAAACTTTAGCTTTGATTTTCTCCGTTTAGACAAAGTTTATTTTAAAAATTACTTCGCCAATGAACTCGTATAAGATGAGTCGTTTTTGAAGCCATTTAATTAAAGCACTTGTAGTCGTGTTTTATCACATATAAAATACGTGTTTTATATGTGATAAACACTCCTATGCGTGCTTTAAATAGTACCTAAATAATAAAAATTATAGTATAGGTAATCGCATGGGGCCGAGTAAAATTAAGGTTTAATTTCACGCGTGTTTTCAAAATTTCACAAACTTTGAAAACACAAGTGAAATTAAACCTTAATTTTACGAGGAACTGTACGATTACTTGTTAATCATAGAGGGCAAAATTTATTCGTAAGTAAATTGTGAAATTGTCAAGTTCTTGAACCTTGTTTGTCTCCATGTCTTCGCCGATGTTCCTTAATGCTGCCTATTTCTTAAATACTCCAATCCATAAAATTGCACTTTTTCCAGTGTTCGAGTTTTCACTAGGTTTTAATTCTTTAAACATCATTATTCGCAACGACAAAGCGAGAAGCCATTATTTTTATTGCTATTTAAAACAGGAAACTTCCCGCGCTTGCGTCCCAGCCAATCAGGTACAAATAATTTTGCCTTGAATTAAGAAAAAATGCCCTCATCATTAGCCAATCATATTCGACTAATTTTGCCCTCTATATGATTATACTTATTAAAAAGCAATTTTACTCCACGCTATAAAAATTTCAAACAGAGTTACTTGTGACTGGCTCTGGCTCTCGCTTTAGACTAGCTCTTGTGACTGGCTCTGGCACATTCACGGAATTTTTCTCTTCATTTAAATCTGGAATATTTAAGTAAAAAATCCAGTCAGGTAAATAATATCAAGCACCTTGTAACTTTAAACTTTGTCTACTTTTTATTGCATGCATGTTTATCCTATATACTTACTGCCATAGCAGTGTGAATTACAGCTGCCAAGAACAGCATCAGTTTTGTCCCCATTTCCTTTTAAATTTCCATTCGTACAACACTGACCATCTTCATAAGATAAGTAAATGAAACAACATCAATTTAAAGAAAATAAAACAGATCTTTTTAGAACCACTGAGTATTTTAACAAAATACAAAACAAGTGAAACTCCAAAAATCGATAACATTTTATTTATCTACGTTTCGACTATATTTCAGTCATCATCAGGATAAACTAATTAGGTTATACATCAAAAGCAGCATTTATATGAAGAAATATGATACAGTCAATGGCTGAACATGTATTCATGTATGATGGCTGAACATGTTTTCCACATATTTAGTAATTGATAAATCTAACCATTGGTCCCTTTTGCTGTATCAAGAATCCCTCGCTATTCAAAGATATAAACTTGAACTTAATCATGGACTTAAAGCTTCTACAGAACTAACCATATTTAATTAATTCATTGATAATCAACCTAATGACTGTATCATATTTCTTCATATAAATGCTGCTTTTGATATATAACCTAGCTAGTTTATCCTGATGATGACCGAAATACAGTCGAAACGTAGATAAATAAAAATGTTATCGATTTTTGGAGTTTCACTTGTTTTGTATTTTGTTAAAACAGATATAACATGCCATAGTAAACTGCAGGTAATAGCCTCCTCCGCAGGCCTCTTCTATGGGTTTGGAAAAAAATCTCACCAAACTTATACAATTACAAAATTAAAATTTTAATCTATGATTTTCGTGAGCACGGCACAGTACTGTATGGTATGGTAAGTATGGTATATGATGTTAAATAATTTGTGTGTCATTTAATCGACTGTCTAAGGTGTTTGACATAAATAGGCATATCCCTGTTTGCATTGGTGAAATATAAAATTTTGACTTTTCCACCCACTGTTTTTGTGCTTCAGGTCCTTTAGTCTAATTGTGTCTTTTGGTCAAAATCTATCGCTGTTAAGTGTTTGTTGCCAAAAAATTGGACAATTTCTATAATTCCTCACAGAAAATGTGCACGACACTTGCCAAAGCGCAGTTGCGCATAAAAAGTGGTGACAGATCAAGTTGTCTTCAATCTGTGATACGGTCCTGAACAGTAAACAACGTGCATGAACGGCATCCTAAGCTAAGCCCGAAGTAAAAGTTCCTCTTGCAATGAAAGTTTCTACTTTTTCGCGGCAATCTTTTTCGCTAACCAATCACAATGCCGAAATTTGTTTCTCGCTAGGCGCGAACAAATCCGTCTAGTCGAAAATGGATGACTTTTTCTTTTCCAGACCAATTTTCAGCCATACATTTGTCCCAATTATATAATTAAATTTTTAAAAGATTTCAAAATAATAAGACCAGTGGTTAAATTCTGCGTCAAAATAAGTAGAAATGCCACTTATAAACCGTACGATCATCCTCCAAAAGATGCAATTCCGTTGCACCCGTCGTGGAACTACATAATTTTCACATGAATCAATAGATAAAAACTTACTTTATCAGAATCCGTTGCTCCCCAAGCGAAAACAGGTGCACAACTGGAAAAAAAATCCCTCCAAAGTTTGCAATTTTCGCGCTTCGAAATATTCGAACCGCTATTGTTATGGTAGTAAATACGCATGCGCACGTCAGCCAAACTCGCACTGCGCACGCGCAGACAGGAAAATTGGATTTTCCCTGTGGGTTTTCCCCGATTTCCCCCGTAAAAACAACAAAATAAAATCACGGAATAGAGATCAAACCTTGTAATACTGACGAATAAAAAATACATACACATTAAATATTGTTTAAAACACATTGTACATTTTGCTTGCTCATACGGCTAAATCATTTCCCTTCATTGGCTATTGTTTCAAAATACCGTTTTAACGTTTAATTCTACTTATTAGCATCCTAATTCAATACAAATTCGTGTGAGGTAGAAAACAGAACGGATAGTTAAAGGGCTTAAACAAGGGGTTCGTAGAGCTGTGCAAACTCCGGTTATTGTAGCTCCGGCAGTCAAAAACTCCAGCTCCTGCAAGGAAATTTTAAGGCAATTTCATATTTAAAAGTAGAAGCAGACGAAGTATTTCAGTGCAATTTCAGAATTTATTTTATTCCTTTTTGAGCTTTCTCCTTTACTTATCAAATATGTTGTTTGGTGCTTGTTTAAACGACGTTTTGTAGGAAGTAAAACCGCATGGCAGCGTGGTATTTTCCCCCAAAATTCATCGGGGTCAGTGGATTTTTGTATCAAAAGCGATAGCAATGCGCTTACAGAATTTTCGAAACCACGAATCGGATCGGAGCAAGTAATTAAACTTTAATACTTTATAGTAACTTCAAATCATTCAACTTAATTTTTCCATTACCAAAAGTTCATTGAAATATGAAATAATTTTGTCTTTTATTTTCCAGCTCCGGCTTCAGTAATCCGGCTCCGGCGCACAGCTCTAGCGGTTCGAATATTTCGAAGTGGGAAAATAGCAAACTTTGGAGGGATTTTTTTCCCAATTGTGCACTTGTTTCGCTTGGGGAGCAACGTATTCTGATAAAGTAAATTTTTATCTATTTATTCATGTGAAAATTATGTAGTTCCACGAGAGGTGCAACGGAATTCGTTTTCTAGAGCATATTTTGAATGCTGATCCTACGGCCTATTAAAAGTAAATTAATTATTCAACATTAATTAATGATGGTTTTAAAGTTTTATTTAGCATATATTACGAAAGTCACCGAACTGTGGAATCGCATCAAAAATTCGTATCGCCGCCACTCCCACAAACGTCTACGACCGCAATGGTAACAATTCCAATTAAACGTCGATTAGCTGTTTAAAATTAGAATTGTAAATGTTTACAAAAATATGTAGGTGCAGTCGTGGACATTTGTGGTAGTGGCGGCGATACGAATTTTTGATGTGATTCCACAGTTCGGTACCCTGGATTCCAGAGCCTTCGACAGTAAATAATAAATTGAAATGTCGCGAAGGCTCTGGTTCAACGGGGCGATTCTTTGATTAAACCGCGCCAATCACAAAACAGAATTAGTGGGTTTAGTACAGATTGCGATTCTTTGATTAAACTGCGCCAATCACAAAACAGAATTAGTGGTTTTAGTACAGATTCTGTACTAAAACCACTAATTCTGTTTTGTGATTGGCGCGGTTTAATCAAATAATCGCCCCGTTGAACCAGAGCCTTCGCGACATTTCAATTTATTATTTATTGTCGCAGGCTCTGGAATCCAGGGTACAGTTAGGTGACTTTCGTAATAAAAACTTTTTAAAGGTTACCTGCGAGTGAGTCAGCGACTGGCTCTGGCTCATATATTATGACATCATTCTTTGAATTTGTCTCCTCGTTAAGACCTGAATATTTCATTTTAAATTTAAAAAAAAACTCCAAGTAAATAAATAGTTTCAAGCATCGTAAAACTTAAACTATTTACAGAATACTGTGGTATTACGCCTTACTTACGATCATAGTTTTGTGATTCACAGCCGCCTAAAACAGCGTCAGTATCGTCCTCATTTTCGTTTACACTTTTATTCATAGACTGATCATCTTCATGAAATAAATAAATAAAAAAACTAAAATTAAAAACTTAAGTAAAAAAAAAACAACAGATATAACATACATGCATGCGTACGGATTTCTTTTTTATATAGCGCGGTGATTATAAATTTCCTGTTTGAGCGCCGCGGCGCTCTTTAACTTTTCAGATCTTCAGATGCGGCGCTCATTCGGGGGAGGCGCTCAATCGGGGGCGGCGCTCTTTAAAAAAACTTTTATTTGTGAACTATAACAGAAACTTTTAACAATAAATTTAGTTTTAAATGTCTTTGTCACTAAATGTCCCCACTTTGACGGCGGAAAAGTTTTATACTGTTTAGTGCGGCGCTCATTCGGGGGCAGCTCTTTAAAAAAAAATGATCTCTAATCATAGATATCTTATATACACTAGATAGTGCATCTAATTATTCTGCAATTCAAAAATTGAAGCCGTGATTGCAGTCTCAGGATATTCCCATGAAATGAGGAGATTCGTATGTTTTCTATTTCTTAAACAGGGAACTTAAACATTAAGTTAAACCTATTCCAAATACTTTTTAAACTCTTCAAATAATGAAAGTTAGTGTTGTTTTTAAGCGTTTATTAGCAAGTGGGAACGACCAACATGGCCGCCATCTATTCAAATGAGGGTAACCGCTGGAATATTCTTGGCTTCAATTTTACTAAATGAGATGCGCTATCTAGTGTATATAAGATATCTATGTCTCTAATGCGGCGCTTATTCGGGGGCGGCGCTCAATCGGGGGCGGCGCTCAATCGAGCGGTAATAAGAAAATAATGGTAATAAGAAAATAATACAAATTCAATGTTCACCTTCAGAATCACAATCCCCATCATAATCACTGGAACAAGGATTTGAGTTGTCATCAGAATCGGAACTATTAATGGAATCTAAAAATCGTTTTCTACATTATTGTATATTTGTAAGACAAATGCAATTCTGACTGCATGCATCAAGCCATCAACGGAAGGCATGATCTTATATAATATACCCATGCAACTGTTGCTTTCGCCTACAAAAACATGTTTTAATTTAAACGAGTGAGATATAGTCAACGCTTTCGGTGTTTCACAAATCTTACCGCTTTTTCATACAAATCCTAAAAATTTCATAAATCCAAGCTTTTACGCATATCGACGGGAAAAATAGATGCGCGCGCGGATTTATTACTACGGAGAGAAAAAGTGGTAATCTCACATATAGATAACGTTGGTACGTACAGTATGAGCAAGCCACACAGCACTCTTGTCATAAGTCTTGGGAGACAGTGACTTTTGATGGGGAATATAGGAAATCAGTTCGGTCCTATTTGGTTGATTTGTTCTGCTATAGCAGGTTTAGTTACCTGGTACTTGAAACAGTGATGTTGAAACATCGCTTCATAATGTCGTTTGGAACTTAAGTACACAAGTTGCATATAAAATACTTACCAGACTTTGATAATGATCTTTCTTCTTGAACAGCATCATGAAGCTTACCAAATGTTAGTGCTTCCATGTGAAGACCACAGGATAGCTCCCTGAAAAATATCTTATGTTATAGTGATTGAATAAAATAACAAATACTGAACAGCTGAAGCTCTTATATACCTTGAAGACGTTTCGATTGTCTCAGCTAACTTATTGTGGCCATTTTCCCGCGCAGTTTCTGCAAAATCTTTGTAATATCCGCTATGATTTTCTAAAACTGCTGCCATGATACGAAGCTTAATTAACGCACTAAAAAAGTGTTCATCGCCTTCAGCTGCCATTTCGTCACACAAATACATTAGCATTGTCATATCAATAGGAACATTCCTGGGCTTTTTTTCAGGAGAACCTGTATAACCGTCAGAATCACCTACAAAAATTTATAAATTACTTTATAAATATAATTTACAAACACTTTACTGTGTATAATGTGCTGAGTTCGATACTCTTTACAATAGAGAGGTTAATATGCCCCTGCATGCATGCTCCTAACTTTTGTTGACGTCACTGCTGTAGCCTCATATGATGATTTTTTGTTTTAATATCCCTTCTATCCCTCTAGGGAAACGTCCCTTCTAAGTTATTGTTGCCTCAAATCCTTACTGTATACATTTGAAATACAGTCCATCCACTCACTCCTCTCCCAACAAATTTCCTTTGTTCGTTTCTTTCCCTGTTTATTTTTCGTCCATTATTTCTTCCTCTCTAACTCCACCCTATTAAATGCATGGCCTTCCACAAAAACTTATTCTTGAATTTTAGTGTACTAAAAAAATTTGTATCAAGAACGCACAATCAGACCAGCACCTACTTGATTTTTCAGTTGGTTTAAGGCGTTCATTAGGAGGATTCGATCCGTCTGATGACCTTAAACCTTTACTACGCAGCGTGTGCGCACGTTCGGTTGCCTCATGATCCTCGTACTGGAATATAATAGTGTCTATAATCTTCCCAGTTTCGTCGGATACCTGCACATCGACCAAATGTGTGCCTCGTCTTAGCGCTTAAAAAAATAGAATAGTCGCGGATCATTTTAAACGTTTTTCCCGCTTTCTTTTGCGTCAAAAAAGCAATTTTACTTGAATAAATACGCAAGCAAAACAAAACACAAACAATCACCAACAGACTTAACTACTTTACGTTAAGACGTACCTGGAGGAATATCTTCCAACCCATGAAGATATTCGTTTCCAGATCCTGATGCTTTGCAGGTCCCATAATTACCAAATTTAACATGAAATATTCCACCTTGCAGAGCTTTTTTTGCATGAAGAATAAATGAACAGCCTCCCTGTAAAACCAGAAAATATAAAATCAGTCAAATACAATATACAGCTTAAGTGATGAACCAAGTGGGCGTTAACATTTCTACAGTACTGCATGGGAATTGCAGTCGAAGAATATAAGAGCTATATACATTACGAAAGTATAGCATTAAAGTTTTGTTATTAAGGGTCTCCTTTTTTTCTTAAACTCAAGACATTTTCAAGTTAATATATAAACAGGCTATATACAGTATTTTCGCAATCAATACACTTTTAAAAGGAATAAAAATCATCGCTCAATTACAACTCTAACAATTCAAAACTGAGGAATTATGCATGGTTTATTTAACATTAAGTCGATATAAGGGCAGTTTTTAAACGTTTTATAAACATAACTTTAGATCAACTATGACTACAATGGCCAACTTTATTTCAATAATTAAAACCCAGAAAACTAAAGTAACGCGAGCAATCTCAGCTATATGCACGTTTGAAATAGTAGATAGTATACCCTAAAACGTGATGAAAATTAACACCATCTCGAGAGACCAAGAATGTTTACACTACCGGGTGGCGCAGAAAAAAGTTCCCTTGTTTGATTTACATAGCGAAAAAACTAGAACAGCTATTTAGCTCAAATAACATTTATCGTTTATTCAGAAGTGTCTAACTTAAATTTTGATAGGTCATGCACACGATTTCATTAAATATTTACCAAGGTATCAGCGTTTAAACTCGGGTAAGCACTTTCGCAAGTTTTGAAAAAATTTAGCTAAAACGGCCTATTAAGTATTCTTTCATCAATGAACTGCATTTAGGCGAACTACATTCAGAATCCGTTTTATTTTTAAAAACAAATATTTATTTATTAGAAATGCATGTCCGCCACATGCAACGTCTCGCTCCTGAAAGCATGAAGTCGAATTGAAGGAATCTTGAATCATTTACTGCTCCAAGTTGCGGCATGCTAAAACAACGCTTCATGCACGAAGCTCTCAAATTGGTTGGTTGCTAATCGATGTGGCATACTCCAAATTTAATATTTCAACAAGCTACAAAGACAAAAAATTGGACACTGACACTGTCAAATCTGAAAGCGTGGGGCAAGGCTTATCTCCGCATTTACTCATCACTAGCTTGCCCAGAAAATAAACTGGCGATGCCCAGCGTAATGGCATCAAATTAGTTCAATGGGCCGTTTTTGATTACTCTTTTGAAAATGCTTACGCAAGTATAAACGCTGATATCTCGTGAAATCTTATGGATGACCTATCAAAAACTTATAGCCTTTTATGAATACAGCCACATTTATTTGGGCGACGTAGCTCTTGTAGTTTTTTCGCTATAGTATAGAGCAAACGCCTGAACTTTTTTTTGCGCCACCCGGTATATTGACTGATACCACTATTCACAAAACAGCAAAGTGAAACTGGCCTTGTCCTAAAAGCTATCAAAAATCGCAAATTTCTGTTTATAAGCCTAGACAGCTTGGCAAGGGGTATATGTGTTAAAATATCGCACATAATATGTTCCAAGCACACAAACCTTGATGGAGCATTTGTTGGGAATGATCTCCAATGAAATTCTGTTATCGACAGCTAAAAATATATACAAGATATTACCAAAACAATCAATGTTACTTTTGATTGTAGGGCTCAAACGAAGTTAGGCATCGCTTTACATTCGCTGCGTGAGTTTCTTTTACTATAGTTTGTTCGAATCATAAGCCTTGATATTTATTCAAAAATATTACGTCTTTGCGCTTCTGGTGCACTTGTTTTGCGCATTCTCCAGGGCATCGCACTGTATAGTACCAAGTCTTGTTTATTGAGCATGCAAAAAGGTCTCTCATGTACAGCATGCATTCTATAATTAAGATGGACTGAATTCAATGATCTGGTTTCTTGCACTTCACTTGGTGGTATTAATATAATGCTGTTGCTAGGGTTTGTAATCCAAGTGAGTATATATACATTTTAAGACCTGACCAGGAACGACTGAGAAAACTCCTCTGGTAAGAATTTTCCCGTGAAGAGGACCTTGTGCTGCATTTTTCGCAGTCGTTCCTGGTCAGGTCTTAAAATGTATATATACTCACTTGGATTACAAACCCTAACAACAGCATTCTAATGCTATAATTAACAGTGGCGGAAATCTTGGTGTGGCGGGAGGGGGCGGCCGCACCACCCCCACTTTCGTGGAAAATGACGAATTTTTGGAAATTTTGACCTTTAAAAGGGCCAAAAACAGCCTTTTCGAGTGCAAATTGGGGGGGGAGGGGGGGGGGTTGTTGTCGGAAATTTGAAAGTTTTGTCGGAATTTAGAAGGCTTCGCCACCCACCGGAAAAAGTGAATTTCCGCCACTGATAATTAACCACGTTTACCTGTTGATACCCGTGGTGGTTGCTGGGAAGCCTGGTTTTTGCTTGTTGACGGATTTGTCTATAATATCAGAATTACATATTAAAATTTGGGTGTCCGATATTTGGGCATAATTTGCAGGCATGTGTTCCACATTTGGTAAATATATAAGTCCGTAATTTTAGAGTAATAGACTGTACCGTTTATTGCACTTTGTTCCAGAAATTACTGTGGTTATGACCTGACGATTTCATGTTGGATTTACAGTATTATACAAAAAAGTTTGGGTTACTATATATTTATGTCTTCGTCCCACGAAGTTCCACGAACATGCATTTGTGCAAAGCTGAGGGTCATGTTTCAAAGGGACAACGGAATGTATATTTGTGCACAATCTGATTTTGTTTGTCTTACATCCTATATTGCATTGGGAGCAACTAACCGCACAAGGGCGGACTGAGTAGTCGGGCAATCGGACGCGGGCAAAGGGGCCGGAGAACTTTTGAGGCCCGGAATTACTGGAAGCGGGACAGATTCAGAATATCTCAAATGTTTGCCAAAAATTCAACTGGCCTCAAAACTATGGTTCTCGGGAACATAATTGGCTCCTTCCGAGTGCAATCTACAATCCTTATCAAAACCTGCAACACTCTATTAAACCTGTGTCTCTGTGGCTTTTTCTTACAATTAGTGGAAAAAAGCATTATTTAATTTAGCAGCTGTTTATTATCAAAATTAATGCATTAAAACCTATTTGTTATTTGGTGTAATTGCATCCGTGCATTTAGTGTAACTGTACCTGATCAAAGAGTGGGACTGATGATTGAGACACAACTATAACAAAAAGATATAAAATATGAATATTAAAGCAGCAAGTCCGGAGGGCCAGCAGCCTGCAAAACTTCAAGAGGGCTAAAAAAGCAAACACAAAAGTACTAAACTTGTTAATAAAAAGTACACGTTGGGCGTTGGGAGACATGGACAAAAATTACTGCTGTAATACCATAGTTGCCTCGAAATCCTTTGTCTCGCGAGGTACGATTAATCACTAATTTACCTCATTACCCATGCATACGCTTTTGTCAAAAATTAGAAGACAAAGAATTCCTTTGTTTTCAACTAAATTTCCCCGGGAAATTTAGTTGAAAACAAAGGATTTCTTTGTCTTCTAATTTTTCCCCCTGCATGCTTGATGAGGGAAATTTAGAAGACAAAAGCGTACCTCATTACCTCTGATTGAAGAGCTGTACCTCATCGAAAATCATCGGCACAACTATGGACAGTATCTAACGATACCGTCCCGTACACATTCAAACAATCACTTTGCCAGCTTTTATTCCCTAATCCTGAACATTACAATTGTGAGAAAAAATTCCGTTTATGCGCATGCCTAAAACGCCAATGGACACGGAGATGTGTTTCTGCGCGTGCGTATATATGAAAAGTGTTCGTACCACAATCATAAGACAATCAAACAGCATTCAAAACAGGCAACACAACACGCGCGGATTCCCTCGGCAACTATGATATTACAAAGTAATAGCATGGCATTACGGTCGATTAGTGATGAAATGTCCCTCAAGCCTCGAGAGGTTTACTAAACCTCTCTCGGCTTTCGGGTACATTTAATCACTAATCGCCCTGAATGCCATGCTATTACTTATAATAATAAATGAGCGAATACTTTCATCAACATAGAAAGCATTCATGAACGACTGTTACGGCATTTTCCATTAATTATTCCAACCTTTTTTGTTCTACCTACCTTGTTCTAGTTTAGTGGTACATTCTTAATATACAAAAGATGCTTTCGTAAAAAAGACACCGTTTTGGTTTCACTAATAGGTGAACCAACGCCTTTGTTAACATATGACATCAATGGTCACAGGCAACCAGTCTCACGAGTTGTCAATGTTGAGAAAATCATATCACATGATATTATGCTCAATGTCGAGAAAATCATAAAGAAATCAACGTTTTTCAATTTACACCCCGACCATGCATTATAACGGGGAAAATTTTTTTCTGCAAAACTCGTAGTACGCAACGTTACATATATACCTCCAGTGTTATGTAAATAATCGTGTAATTCATCACCCGCCAATGTTAATTCACTAAAACACATATTCTAAACAAAAACAGCAATACATTTGTAATATAATATTAATACTATATAAGAAAGCTTCGAATTGATAGGGATGCTACTACCCGGCTGAAAAATAGTTTCGGTATATAACATCTCGTGATCATGAAGGGTCTATATCATTTATAGACCCTCCGCTCGGGAAATTCGGGGAAATATTGATGATATTTCCCTCGGGGCAAAGGCGCTCGGGAAATATCATCACTTCGGGTAATATTTCCCCAAATCCCCCGAGCGGAGGGTCTATAAATGATAATTGTTACTCTCTAGATCTAGTATAAATAACTTGCCTTATCGCAAGCCAGTTGATAACTGTTCGTTCGCCCCACCTCCCTCCCCTGACAGCCATGCACCTCTTGACAGCTGGGGATTTGGAGAGGCGGTTTGTACGGGGTTTTTATGTCTTGAATTGCTGTCTTGTTTTCTCGCCATTCTATTGCGACATTATGCCGAAGTTATCTATCAACATGGAAACTTATCTAGTAAGAAACATCTAGTAAGTAGTCAAATACCACGTATTTTTATTATATATTAAAATACCAAATTTGTGCAAATACCACATATAATTTTGCATATTACACTAACACTGCATTAAATATTGGATATTTTCAGCCATTTGACAATATAGTTCACAAAAAGGTTTATATACAGTAAAAAAATCCTTCTGTGACTTCTGTAATATTTTAAACAGTCAAAACATAGTAGACGATATTGCCAATGAACAATAT